AAAAAAACTAGAGCCTAGGCCTTTCAACAGGAACTAGAGTCCAGGTCCCTCAAAAAGAACTAGAGCCCAGGTCCATCAACAAGAACCAGAACCCAGGTCCACTGACAAGAACAAAAGCTAGGTCCCTCAATAACTAAAGCCCAGATCCCTCAACAAGAGCCAGAGCCCAGGTCCTGCAACAAGAACTAGAGTCCAAGCCATTCAACAAGCACCAGAGCCCCAATCCCTCAAAAAGAACCTGAACCCAGGTCTTTCAACAAGAACCAGAGCCCAGGTCCTCAACAAGAACCAGAACCCAACCTACTATACAGCTACAGTAGTCAAATCAACCTGGTACTGGTACCACGACACACACATTGACCAAGGGAACAGAACAGAGAACTCAGATGTAAATTCATCCACCTACGGTCACCTGATCCTTCACAAAGGCCCAAAGTCCATTAAATGGGGAAAAGAACATCTTTTTAACAAATGGTGCTGGCAAAACTTGATGTCCGTCTGTAAAAAAACGAAACAAGACCCAAACAGCACAACATTATTCAAAATAGCAAAAAAGATAGAAACAACCTAAGTGTCCATCAACAGATGAACGGACAAACTATGGTACAGACACACAGTGGAACACTATGCAACAGAGAACAATGGTACATCTGGGAAACATCTCACAACACAGATGAATCTGGAGAGCATTATGCTGAGTGAAATAAATCAACCACAAAAACACAAATATTGTATGAGACCACTATTATAAAAATTCAAGAAAAGGCTTACACATGTTATGGATTGAATCATGTCTCCCAAAAATGTATGTCAACTTGGATAGTCCATGAATCTCATCATTTTTGTCATCTCATGTGATTTTCCTATGGGTTGTAAATCCTACCTCTATGATGTTGAGGTGAGATCACCAGCAGTTGTGTTGACAAAGCAGGACTCAATCTACAAGATTAAGAGATTAAGTCAATCTCTTTTGAGATACAAAAGAAAAGAGCAGAGACAGGGGGACCTCATACCACCAAGAAACAACAGCCAGGAGAATAGCACATCCTTTGGACCCGGAGTGCCTGCGCTGAGAAGCTTCTCAACCTGGAAAGACCATTGACAAGGATCTCCCCACAGAGCCGAAAGAGAGAAAAAGCCTTCCCCTGGAGCTGGCACCCTGGATTTGGACTTCTAGCCTCCTAGACTGTGAGAAAATAAACTCCTGTTTGTTAAAGCCATCCACTTGTGGTACTTCTGTTATAGCAGCACTAGATGACTAAGACAAAACAGAAAGAAATAATCTTTGATGGTTATGAGGGAGAGGAGGGGTAGGAAGGGAAAAATACTAACTAGGCAGTAAATGGTAAATGGTGAAAGGTAAGACGGTACACAATACCGCAGAAGTTGGCACAACTTGACCAAGGCAGTCATAGAGCTTCACGGATAAATCCAAACTCCCTGAGGAACCAAGTTACTGTGCTGGGGACCATAGTCTCAGGGGACACCTAGCTCAAATGGTGTAACAGAGTTCATAAAGGAAATATTCTACATCCCACTATAGTGAGTAGCATCTAGAATTTTAAAAGCCTGCAAGCGACCATCTAACATACACATAGGGTCCTATCCCATCTGGAGCAAAGAAGAATTTAGAAAACCAAAGACACAAGAGAAAGATTAATCCAAAGGACTAATGGACCACAACTACCACAGCCTCCACCAGACTGAGCCCAGAATAACTAGGTGGTGCCTGGCTACCACCACCAACTGCTGTGACAGGGATCACTATAGAGGGTCCCGGACAGAGAGGAAGAAAATGTAGAACAAAGTTTAAATTCACAGACGTACTGGTCTGACAGAAACCGGAGAAACTCAGAGAGTACAGCCCCCAGACACCCTTTTAACTCAGTACTGAAGTCACTCCCAAAGTTCACCTTTCAGCTAAAGATTAGACAAATCCATAAAGCAAACAATAACATACGTGAGGAATGTGCTTTGTAGTTCAATCATGTATCCGAGACTAAATAGGAACACCAGCCCAAAAGCAAAGACGAGAAGGTAGAACGGACAGGAAAACTGGACAAATGGAAACAGGGAAACCAGGGTGAAGAAGGGGAGAGTACTGACATGTCACAGGGTTGGCAACCAATGTCACAAAATCATTTGTGTATTAACGGTGTAATGAGAAACTAATTTGCTCTGTAAACTTTCACCTAAAGCACAATTTAAAAAAAAAAAAAAAAAGAACCAGAGTCCAGGTCCTTCAACAAGAACCAGAACCCAGATCCTTTGGTTTTCCCAGTCCAGCAGATGCCTCAGGAAAAGAAAAAATAGTAGTTGAATTTCCTAAGATATATTATTTTTATTCCCATGCCCATTATCAACATACTACTTAGAACGCTATCAACACTTAACATCATTTTTGCTAAGGTATGTTAACCCTTTATCTTATATTACCAAAAAAACCAAACCCATCATCGTCAACTTGATTCCGACTAAGGACCAGAGGAGAACTGCTCCTAGGGTTTCCAAGGCTGTAAATCTTTACAGAAGCAGATGGCCACATCTTTCTCTTGCGGAACAGCTGGTGGATTCAAATCACTGATCTTTCAGTTAGCAGCCAAGCGCTTTAACCACTGCAACACCCACCATGTAAAATCGGTCTCCCTAACTTCCTCACTGGAAAATAAAAAATGAAAAGAGAGAAAATGCAGAACAGAATTTCAAATTCTCATGGACTCTAGAATTTCTGGAGCCATGGAGGCCGGATGAACCTCTGAAACTACTGCCCTGAGATAATCTTTAAACCAAAAATATCCCCTGAAGTCTTCTTAAAACCAAACAATAGGGTCGCTATGAGTCAGAATCAACTCAATGGCAACAGGGTTGCTTATCTGTTAGTAAAGAATTTCTGCTTCTTTTAAGAACTATCTATATTTAATTGAAGTGACAACAGCAACTTGAAAGATTAGATAGGAACCTTAGGGGCAGTGAGTTTATGTTAATGGAGGAGGAACAACTCAGAAAAGGAGGGTGTGAACAGTTGCACAACACACAGAATGTAATCAATGTCACCGAATTGTACATGTGGAAACAGTTGAATTGGTGTATGTTTCGCTGTGTATATTCTGAACAACACAACAAAATTAAAAAAAAAAAAAATTAAATACATAAATAATGATGATAAAAGCCATCACACTGAGTTTTATGACACATTTTGGCTACAGCTTTGGTAATTGACCATGTCATGCATGTTGGAGACACTGCCATGAAGGACAACTGTGTTTTTAAAGTCATAGGTAAGAACAGCATTCCTTACGGCCTTACCTACTTTGATCTTTATTGACTGAACATTTTTTTAATAAAAAATAAGATAGGGAAAGGTGCTATCAAGTAGTCACCTATTACAGTACCTTGGCAGCTTTATTAACTTTGTCTTCGTTTTCTCTCTTATAAACAAACACTGAAGCAAATTTGCCATCTTGCAGTACAGCTGGATAAACAGCAAGTCCAGAAGGTAAGGCGAATGGTGGTTCTTTCAGTGTATAGCTTTTTAAAGCACTGTTCTCTGATCCCATCCCTTATGCAGTGTGGCTGTACTGCAGCTCTTCCTCAAGGCTGAGCAGATCTAAAAGAAAATATAAATAATGTGTAAACATTAAATCTACCTGCAACATGAGCAAGAGATAGCCAAGATGGAGCCAGACATAACCAGATGTAAGGGGGGATTTCCCTAGGGGGTGTGGCCTGCACCCAGTATATGTGGATGTTCTGGCAAAGCTCTCCCTTGTTCCTGTATCCAACTTGTCATCATCTGACCTCCAGTTCTTGGGATGTGAGCCAGCAGCCTGCCACTTGACCTGCAGATTTTGGGTTCATCAGTCCCTGCAATCACAAGTGTCAGGAGAAGCCTCCAGCCTACAACTGACCCATGGATTTGGGACTTGCAGCCTCCACAACCATGTGAGACATTTCCTTGAAATAAATCTCTCTACATACATATTTATAAATATATGCTTCACTGGTTTTGCTCTTCTAGAGAAACCAGCCAAAGACATTTAGTACCAAGTGGGTAAGTTATATGCCAAGAAACATGGAGATCTCCAAGGAAATGGGAAGCAGAAGCTGAAGAGACAAGGACCTTCCTCCACAGCCGGCAGAGAGAGAAAGTCTTCCCTTAGAGATGGTGCTCTGAATTCAGATTTTTAACCTCCTAAACCATGAGAAAATAAATTTGTTTGTTAAAGCCATCCACTTGTGGTATTTCTGTTACAGCAGCACTAGATGACTAAGACAGAATTTGGTATGGGTTCAGGAATCAAGGACTGGAAAAAGGAGTGGCATTACTCACTACTACCCCTACAGGACAGAGTAGAACTGCACCATCGGGTTTCCAAGGAGCAGCTGGTGGATTCGAACTGCCAACCTTTCAGTTAGCAGCCAAGCTCTTAACCACTGTGCCACCAGGGCTCCACTATTACCTCTAGTGGCCTAAAAAGAAATTTTTTTTTTGCTTCCGGTCCCCGTGACCCTATGCGCTGCGAGTCTATAGGTCTTAGTTCCAAAAGGAGGAATGCTTCCACCTGAAGACACATCACTGATTCCACTGAACTCGAAGTTAAGAATGCCACCTGGCCACTCTGGCTCCTTATGCCTCTGGATCAACAGGCAAAGAAGGGAGTCACTATATTGGCTGATGTGACTGATCCTGATTACCAGGGGAAATCAGATTGATATTATATAATAGAGACAATGAAGGGTATGTCTGGAATGCAGATCCTTGAGGGTATCTCTGAGTACTACCATGCCCTGTGACTAAAGTCAATGGAAAACTACAGCAACGCAATTCCGACATGACTACTAATGCCCAGACCCTTCAGGAATGAAGGTTTGGGTCACCCCACCAGGCAAAGAACCACGATTAGCTGAGGGGCTTGCTGAGGGCAAAGGGAATAATGGAATGGGTGGTAGAAGAAGGTAGTTCTAAATACCAATTACAGCCACGTGACCAGCTGCAGAATCGAGGACTATAACTGTTATGAGTATTTCTTCCTCGTCTTATCATACATGCATCTGTGTTTGTGTATATACAGCAGATATTTTTGTTTTCTTCCCTCTCTTATCCTAATACCCAAAATATATAAGATGTAATCAGGGCTACTGTGTTTCTGGTTGTTCACACGTTGGCTGCATCATGTTAGGTGCAAGTGTGACTTTATAACTATATTTAGAGACTATGTACGGTTTAAGGAGATGTGTACAGGTGCCAAGTTGACAAGGGGTGGACTGTGATGGTTAATGTTATGTGCCAACTTGGCTAGGCCATGATTGTCAGTATTATGTAATTATCCTCCATTCTGTGATCTGATCTACTGATCTAAGGGGAGTTTCCTTGGGGGTGTGGCCTGCATCCGATATATATGGATTTTCTGGCAAAGCATGCACGCTCTCTCTCTCTCCTGCATCCAACTTATCATTTATCTGACCTCCAGTTCTTGGGATGTAAGCCAGCAGCCTGCTGCCTGACCTGCAGATTTTGGGATTTGCCAGCTCCCGCAGCCCCATGAGCCAGTAGCCTGCCGTGCGACCTGCCGATTTTGGGTTCATCAGCCCCTGCAACCACATGACTCAGGAGAAGCCTCCAGCCTGATATCTGACCCACAGATTTGGGACTTAAAGCCTCCACAACAGTGAGAGGCATTTCTTTGAGATAAATCTCTATATATATATTTATACATATATGCTTCACTGGTTTTGCTCTTCTAGAGAACCTAGCCTAAGACAGTAACTTAAACCAAAAGCCAAATCAGTTGCTGTGGAGTCAATTACAACTCATGGTAACCCCATGTTTTACAGAGTAGAACTGCTCCATAGGGTTTTCTTGGCTGTAATCTTTACAGAACCAGACTGCCAGATCTTTCTTCCACAACACCACTGGATGGGTTCAAACTGCAACCTTTAGGTTAATAGAGAGCACAAACATTTATAGGGGCACATTACCATGCTCCATCTCAAGGCCATAGGAAGCGCAGCTTCAAATCCACTTCCCTCCCTGCCTCAGTGACACCCTTACAATCAGCTCCCTTTACCTGAGGTAGCTTGAGTGGGTCTATGTTCTTTGAAACTAATTGCCATTTCATTAACAGAAAATTACTCTTTAGCTCCTCTTGCCTGAAAAATCTGTCACACTGAGGAATGAGTTAGAGAGTCATTACTTTGAAAAATGTATACTTGAAGCTAATCTAACTTCCTTCTGTCTCTCAGCCACACAACAGAGCTTTCCAAAATCAGCACATGCCAAGGGAAAAACTGAGAACAAGGAACAGCAAATAAATGAAAATCCTGGCAGAAAATAGCACTGTTTATTTAGTTATAATATGTATTAGTCCCTAGAGGAGATAAAATGGCAATCAGGATTCAGGAGCAGTGCTCTGAGTATATAACTGGCAGCAACAAAGGTGACAACCACAGGCATTTAACTTACTTCACCATTTCTAAATAGCAAAACACCTCCTTGTGGGAACATTGTGCCTTACAAGTGTTAACCTCTGATTTAATATTATGAATATCACAAGTTAACTAACAGCGTATGAAAGCTTCAGGAAGACATTAAAACTGGTAATTTTTCTTAGCAGCGTATTTTTGCTCTACTCAGTTGCCATCATGTCAATTCCAACTCATGGCGACCCCATGTGTGTCAGAATAGAACTGTGCTCTATAGGGTTTTCAATGGCTGATTTTTCAGAAGTAGATCATCAGGCCTTTCTTCCGAGGCACCACTGGGTGGACCCAAACATCCAGCCTTTCAGTTAGCAGCCTACTGCTTAACTAGCACTTAACCATTTGCACCACCCAGTGATGCTTTTTTTTTTTTTTTTTTTTTTGTCTACGACCCTGAAGAATACCACTTAAAAATGAAAAGGGATGACTCGGTTTCTTGAAAGAATTCAAAGGAAAGGTGCCATCTTAACTATTTTGGAAGCATGGTTAATGTTGACAGAAGTCTACAGACAGAATACCAAAACCAAAAACCCACTGGGGTCGAGTCAATTCCGACTCATGGTGACCCTACAGGACAGACTGGAACTGCCCCATAAGGTTTCCAAGGAGCGGCTAGTAGATTCAAACTGCTGATCTTGTGGTTAGCAAGATGTGCCATCATGACTCCACAGATAGAGTAGTAGCCTTATATTCCATGTCCAGTGTAAATTTTGCCTTTTATTAAGAAGAAATAAAAAGATGTGCTGACGATTAAAACTTAAAAACATCTTACAAGCATTAACTCTTAATTCTTTACACACTGTAACTAAAGAGGCGCAAATACCGTTGACAAACACTGCTTCAAAAATGATAATTCAGCACAAATGAATTACTGAAATATAGAACTGATAAATAACACTTCGACTTGGAAAATGCTCTCCTGTTGCTTTGAGAAGTGAGGGAGAAAATACAAAATCTTGCTTGATAGCTTTGGAACAAAAGTCACAAGAAAGTAGAAAAAGATGTTCTAACGCCACAGCATAGATATCTTGCAGAATTCATGACATTCGCTCTCTATAATAAAATGTTGAATCGGCACTCTAACTTGAATGGGCATCATAGTCTTCTCTAAATAATGTGTTCACCTAGCTTCCTCCTTCCTTCCTTGGGCAGCACAGTTTCCGGACCACCTGCACATTCGAAAAGCCTGGGTTTAGAACGCTGTGCAACTCATACACTCAACTAAGAAAGCTCTGGGGGAATCTCTCTGCTCTTTTCCCAGCAGTTAATTATAATTATCTTGATTCTAGCTCACACAGCTAGGGAACTCAAAAAGTAATGGCTTGCATTATGGGCTCTAAAGACATCTGCACTGAGTGCTTTGATCCGTTTCAGGTATACAGTCCCAGTCTTGAACTCTGTGCAGCACTGCTAGGTGACAAGCAACACACAGGGAAGCCTTTGTGGATCAAAAGAACTAAATATGCTTTCGGCTAAGAGATACGATTTTACCTGGATATGCACATGGGTTCTTAAAAACAGCACTTATTAGTATAACTCCAAAATTCAGAACCAGACTCTGAGTATTCACGTGGTTTCCTAAACAAGACCTTCGGAGAACCGTATTTCATCTTTATTCTAAATAAAAAGCTTAACGCAGTCAAGAGCCAGCTGGGCCTCGAGGGACCTGGCCCTGGTCCTGGACCAAGAACCAAGCCGCCTTCTCAGGGCGGGCACGACCTCAGGCCCCCAAAGCTCAGGCGATGCCGCCTCCGGGGAGTGTCCGGCCCGCCGCGCAAACCTGCCGGACCGCCTGCCGGGAAGGGAGTCCGCGGGCCGGGAGTGGACCGGGCTCCAACTGCGACCCCGGGGCCGCTGAAGGCCGGGGCGGCGCACTTGCTTGACCGGCCCCTCACCTTCCACACCTCCCCGAGAGGCCCGATCCCGTGGCTTCCGCCGACAGCCCCGGCCGCCAGTGCAGCCCAGGAGGCGCAGCCCGCAAAGCCCAGATGAGAAGGACGCCCACGCACTGAAGCTGGGGGAGGGTGCGCGGAGGCTGACGGCGGAGCCCAACCGGCTGCGACTGCCCCGCGAGCCCGGCGCGAGCCCCTGCCTCTTCTCCAGCCCTGGCCCCCAACCCCGGCCCGGACCGCACAGTCGGAGGCCCCAGCGCAGGGCCTGTTACCTGCGGGAGGGTGGCGGGGGGCGGCAGAGGGGCGGCGGGGGGCGGCAGAGGGCAATGGCTCCGGTCCCCTCTTTGCCCCCTGTTGACACCAACCAACTTGCCTACCCCGTGAAGCCGTGGCCACTATACCGGCAATCTTCCCGACTCGGCTCTCTCCGACACCATAGAGACGGACCCGGAAATGGGACAGAGTGCCAGCCTTCGCCTGTCCGACACCAGCACTGAGGCAAACGAACCCGGAAGCGAGATAGAGCGGCCGCACAGGCGAGTCTCAGGCGGGTGCCATCTTGAGTGTGGGCACCGGCGCCGAGCCCGTTTTGCTCACTGTTCCCAGTAGCCGAGTTGGTCTGTGCAGATGTTTCTTCCCTAGACAGTCGGGTTGACGGTACAAGTTTGTCCTGATTTTGCTTTTTAGGCTTTTAATTTCTCAGTTTTAACTTTCTTTCCGCCCGAATCTAAAATGGCCGCCGATTGCCTCTAGCAAATAGGGGCCACGAGCCGAAAAGGAGTCCAGTCTGAAAACTGGCGAGGACGTCCGTGAGCACGACGCTGTTCACCCCCGCAGCCCTGATTGGCTGCGCTGCGTGGGTCAAAGTTCTGTGGAATGACGGCTGTAACTGACTGAGTCCTGCTTAAGCCTTTGAGACAGAAAGTCTCAAAACTGCACTTAATTCAGCAAAAAGTAAAATTGGTAATATTAATATCAATAGCCCGTTTCACTGGGTGAGAAATAATTATACTAATGGTTTTAAAACTATACGTGACGCATAAAAACCAAATCCGTTGCCATCGGGTCAATTCTGACTCTGCCCCATAGGGCTTCACAGGAGCAGCTGGTGGATTCAAACTACCCACGTTTTGGTTAGTAGCCAAACACTTAACCACTGTGACACCAGGGCTCCATGACACATAATAAGCACTCAATATATGTTAGTTACTATCATCTTCATGACTCTGGTAGTAATTACCACATAATGCAACTGCTTACCTTACAGCTGACTAGTGACCTAAATCATTTGGTTATGTGCAACTTTTAGGTCCTTTCTAGTCTGTAACAACAGTAGTAGAAAAAGTTGAAGAGGGATAGGACTCCAAAATTTTGTCACCAGGTTAAATGAAAGTAAATATCAGACCAAATTTTGCCCCTTCTTCAGAAATGTATTAAATATTTATTAGGAGACAGGCACAGTGATTAATTTTGCTGGTCCTGTAGACTTGATGAAGTCAGCTTTCTGTCCTACCTCAGCACTGTCCTATTGAAATAGAATGGGAGCCACGTATATAATTTTAAGTTTTCTAGTAACCTCATTAAAAATAGAAAAAGAGATGAAGTTGATGTTAATACTATATTTTACCCAAAAAATTATCCTTTAAACATGCACTCAAGATAAAAAGTTATTAATGAAATGTTTTATACCCCCTCCCCCTTTTATTTGCACTGGGTTCAAAATTCAATGTGTATTTATTAGTTTGCACTAGCCACATTAGAATGCTTGATAGCCACATGTGGCTTGTGACTACCATAACAGAAAGCACACTTCTAGGTGGCCTGCCTACCACCTTGCATTAGAAAGTTCAGAAGCAGAGCTAACAGTGCTGCAGAGTGAGGATTCTGTTACTGTCATAGTCCACATCAACATCTGGCAACCCAAATCCTCCAGACCAGTGGTCGAACCAGGATCATTTAGGGATGAAGCCTCAGGTGACATCTTCAAGGAAAGACTGAGGCCTCCCTTGAATTTTAGACCCTGTTTATTCAAGAGCGGAGAGCATTCTCTAAAATATTTTAGCTGATATAGCTATTATGAATCATTTTAATTTGAGCACCCGTTTCTAACTTTTGTAATGATTAATATGCTGTTATTTCTGCCAGTAAAAATCCATTTCTGGCACTCACCATGATAATTAGCAACACATCTGGTATCATCAGAACTCAATTTGGCTGAGGTATTTAGAGATCCATCTTAGCAACGGCCTTTCTGGTATCATGCTAGCTGACTTCCTCTAGAATGTGGATGTCTCATTACTAGAATGCCAGCTGCTCGTAGGACGTAGCTTCAACCAATTAATGCACGCAGAAAATTACACCGTATGTAGAAGTAATGTGACCCTAATACTCCCTAGCATGTTTTCTCCTTTTCGAAATGGGTGACTGAGAGCTTGACATAACTAACGCCATGAAAAACCTGTAAGTGACATAACTAACGCCCTGATGAACCTGTAAGTTTTTTTTCTCTCTTTTTTTCCTTTGCCTTCTCCCTTTTCGCATACCTTTGTTAATGACTTGGTTTTGCTCTGTCTGGCTACCTGTGGCTTACGAACCCCCACAGGAAGATAAGAGCCCAGAAGTCTGATATGGAAATGTCTGGCAGGTATCTCTTTAGTATGATAAAGAATCTCTTGTAATTACCTTACAATGTATAACAACACTTCTAACCTTTGTAAAAATCATATATAAACTCTAATGTAAAAATGCCTTTTGGGACTCCATAGAGACAGCCTGCGTTGCTGTTGGATCCCCGGTGATGTACGTCTCCTAAAAATAAAATTTTCTCACTCTTTCCGACTTGGAATATGTTTCATTGGCTCGACGGCTCCCGGGCATGGACCCTATTCGGGAAACAGTAATTTAAAGTCAATTACAGATATCATGACCCCCAAGTTGTTGTTGTAAGGAATACTGGGCTACTTTATAAACTTTGAAACACTATTAGAAATGTTAACTAACTTACAGGCTCGTGTTGGAGAGGTGTTTATTCCACAGATATTTAATGCACACGTTCTATGCCACGCACTGTGCTGCCCACTAAGAAAAGAAAGAAGACACAGACATTGCAGAATACTGGATTCTTTGAGGAGCTCAAATGTGACTTAAAATTTTTTTAAGTAATTAAGGATGTGTGAGTATCTTAGTGCTAGGAATTTTATAAAATAGTTTCGAAGTGACCATGCTCCACCACCAACATAGAAGTTTCAAGCTACTGTATGTGGTGCTGGATATGAGCTAGACGACTCTACACTTCCCTGGTTCTTCTCAGGCCTCTCTCACATTCACTTCTAGAATTAACAAACAGTTATGCTTTGCTTTTTTAAGTTTGGTTGTTTGTTTCTCCTAGATCTTGATCCTAGCTGGTGTCCAAACCCTCAATTCTAATCCAACAAAGCTGAATACCAGACCCTGGAATATAGTACCCACAGCTCTCTGGGGCTGTCCTTAGGAGACATGTCTGGGAGGCATACCAGCATTCTTCAGATCATACCTTATAGTCTCAATTATGCAACTGTTTCCAAACCACAGCACCACCTGGTGAGACCCCCTCCGGCTCTTTCCCGACTATGTTGTTAGTTCCTATGCAGCTGATTCCGGCTCATGGCTAGAGTTGCTCCATAGGGTTTTCAAGGCTAAGGCCTTTCAGAAGCAGATCACCAAGTCTGTCTTCCTAAGGTGCTTCTGGGTGGATTTGAACCCCCAACCTTTCAGTTAGTAGTTGAGCCATTCAGTGACTACTTCCCTGCTTTACCACCTGTAAAACTGTTTTCAGCCTCTTCGTGTATCTTCTTCCAATACGGTGGGCTCTGATGTCAGCAGACCTGGGTTTAGAGCTCACTTTTGCTGCTCACTATCCTTGGACAGGAGCCGTAGTGGTGCAGTAGTTAAGTGTTTGGCTGATAACCAAAAGGTCGGCAGTTTGAATCCACCAGCTGCTCTTTGGAAACCCTATGGGGCAGTTCCACTGTGCCCTATAGTGTCGCAATGAGTCGGAATTGACTCAATGGCAATAGGGTTTTTGAATCCTTGGGCAAATTCACTTTGCTCAACCTGTTTTCTCAGCTGCAGAGTGGGGATTAAAGTAGTACCGGTTACCACAATAACGCAGATTGGAGCCGCCTGCCGCAGTAGCCAATTCTGAGACAAGGGTGAGGTGAGCAGCAGGAGTTTTATTATATATCGATATATAGGAGACAGAGGGGAATAAATTCCTCCAAAAACTCATTTCCTCCACTAGAGATGGGCCGAAGGCTTTATAGGGACAGGATTATGGGTCTTAGAAGTTTGTGTTAGTTCCCCCTTCAGGTGGTCACGTCCCAGATAAGTTAATCTTTTCTTGGGGGTTATCTGGCAACATCCTGGTTTTCTTGTCCCAAGATGGGTGCTTTGTTCGGTTTTTCATTCCTAGATCATTGTCACTTGTTTTCCACCCTCCAGGAGGAACATCGGTTAATCTTAAACTTTACAGAGACTGGAATGGGAGGGAAAAACAAGATCATGAGGGAATGCAGGGGTTAGCAATGGGGAGTAATAATAGTGAGCCAGACCTATGCAGCCTCTTGCAATGCCCCCTTTCATTGGAAGTTTCTCAATCTTGAGAAACAGGTCATCACTTCTTTTCTGATTACTTCCTGCTGGTTAGGGGCATCAGCTGGGGTGAGAAACTTCCTGGGTATCGACCTGTGGAGGGGAGTGTCAGTAGGAATAGACAAACGAGAAGAAGCATACTAATTAATAGTGTTTATGACGGCTCCCAGAGAACAGACCCAGTCTCTTTTCTCCATCTCGGTCATCACCAAGGTGGGGAAAGTCGACTTTTTCAGGAATGGTCTCCCACATATTAATTTGTAAGGGCTCAATCTGAGCCCACTTTGAGGGGCTACCCAGATTCTGAGCAGGGCAATGGGGAGAACTTGTATCTCAGTGGAGCTTGTCTCCTGGCAAATTTTCACCAAGGACTTTTTCAGAGTATGGTTCATCTTTTCGATCTTTACAGTCGATCGTGGTCTCGAGGCTGAGTGTAATTTATATCTAAAACCTTATTGACTTCTTGGTTGACTGTTGCCATAGAAGCTCTTGCGTTGTCTCTCTGGACTGAGACTGGAAGCTCAAAACAGGATATGATTTCTTTGAGTAACGCCTTGGTCACTTCTTGGGCTCGTTCGGTTTAACAAAGGAAAGCATCCACCCACCCTGAGTAGCTGTCCACAAACCCCAGCATATATCTAAAATTTTGAGGTGTCCAGGGCATTATACCACTGCCACCTGAAGGGGATCACAGATTGCTTTCAGGAGTTCCAGAATTTCTGGTATATGTTTTATTTCTTTATGGGTGTTACCGCAATAACGTGGATTGGAGCCGCCTGTCGCAATAGACAATTCTGAGACAGGTGAGGTGAGCAGCAAGAGGTTTATTATATATCAATATATAGGAGACAGAGGGGAATACATTCTTCAAAAAAACCCATCTCCCCCACTGGAGATCGGCTGAAGGCTTTTATAGGGGCAGGATTATGGGTCTTAGAAGTTTGGGTTAGTTTCCCCTTGAGGTGGTCATGTCTCAGATGAGTTAATCTTCTACTGGTATTCTTGGGGGTTATCTGGCAACATTTTGGAGATTATCTGGCGACATCCTGGTTTTTCTTGTCCCAAGATGGGTGCTTTGTTCGGT